TCTTCTTCTTCTTCTTCTTCTTCTTCTTCTTCTTCTTCTTCTTCTTCCTCTTCCTCCTCCTCCTCCTCCTCTTCCTCTTCCTCTTCCTCTTCCTCCTCTTTTCAAAGTTACCCATTCTTGATGTCTTCCTCCTCTTTCGCATGTGGTGTACTCTGAACCATTATTTCTCAACTTTGGTAATTTTAAGTCTTGTGGACTTCAATTCCCAGAATTCTGGGAGTTGAAGTGCACACATCTTAAAGTTGCCAAAGTTGAGAAACACTCTCTGAACATTCCAACAAACTGGGTAACAAAAAAGACCTGAGTTAACTTCTCCTTTCTCACTAATCTTGAGTAAATTATGTAGGTGCTGTGGTTATGCCTATTTGCAAATTGTGTGTACCTGTATATATATTTGCTTTTCATTATCAAGTACATAGAGAGGGGGAAATAATTTATGAGGTTTGTAGGGAGAGAGGCATTGTAATTGCTGCGCAATTTTATCAGTAAGATATAGTAATGCTCTAAAAAACTCCATTTTTACAGGTTTTCCCCATAGTGCTTTTTCTGAGTTATAGTGCTATCTACCCATTCTTGACTTAGCAGAAAACAATGTCAGTTGAAACTGGCTATCCCAATTGCAGCTCCTTTTTTGCCTTGATTAATTCCCTTCTCAGTCACTATTCCTTCCAGTCTCTTGACTTCCATCCAAAGTGAGAAAATCTTACAGGTTTTGTACACTTTAAGTGTCCTTGAATGATGTTGAAACAAGAGGAGAAATGCCTCTTTATCACTGGTGCAATGAAGGACATCTTAATTCTCTCTATGGAGTCCTTCGTGCACTCTGAGCTTGGTTATTGCTGGCAGATATTTCATTACCAGACTAGGTAACATAATCAGTGCTGGTGAGTGTTGCGTTTGTTTCCTGCCTATATACAATAGGTTGCCCTGCCAGGATTGGTGTGGGGGCTGCGGTTTTCTCTTTTGCAGTTCTTTGATTGTTCTCTGCTTGATGGTTCAAGGAACTACCAAAGGGAGAAGGAAAAAAAAAACCACACCCCACCAAGATTGGCAGGGCAAGCTACTCTATATAAGCAGAAAGCAAGCAGAACACTCATCAGCACTGATAATGTTATCTCGTCTGGTAAAGAAATGTCTGACAGCAAACAGCCAAGCTCAGAGGGCATTGAGGACTTCGCAGTTCAACTCTGAGCTATGTGTGTATTCTCCATTAATCCTGTCTCCCATATTTTCTGGGGATGAGATAGGGGCAGTATCAATGGAATGCTAAAGGCAAAAGAGGTCTCACCGCATACATGTGGTAGGATTAGTTATCCATGGGGACATAGCCTATATCCTCTGGAATAATATTTCCAATAGCTGCCTCTAGGTATCCACATGTAGACACACACGACTTTGCAAGTAAGCATTTTCAAGTCTATTGAAAGAAAGCATTTTTATATAAGGAGCACAGCATACAGGAATAGTATTTATGTGTCTTTGGTTAAATAAAAATAATATTAGTGATGACTAGTGATGCATATATGCATGCATATATATATGTGTGTGTGTTTTTTTGTATAAACATGTATGTGTGTACGTTTACATATACAACATGTATGCCTGTGTACGCATGTACCTGCACCCATACAACAATATATAACATTTCAATTTATACAGCTCTTGATTTTAAATTAGTAAATTAGTCAATCATATAAATCATATATATGTTATTAAATAAAAGAAAAAGACACCCAGGTAAGTTTGCATCATGGGCAAAAGATATCTCTTGAATATCTTCTTTCTTAACCTCTCTGTCAAAAGAAACCTGAGCCAGATGTTGATAAACAATATATATTGGCTGTTGGCTGCAGCAAATGAGGTGTAAATTTATTCTTCCACTGCTGTGTAACATCGGGCTCTTCTGTATGCAAGAAACAAAGCAAAGGTGTGTCGATCTATTTCTTTTAACTCAGCATTGGAAATAGATTCCTTGGGAAGATTCAAAGTTCCAGTAATCACATGGGGGCAGGGCAGGGTTATGGTTTATGACCTTGAGGGCGGCAGAGTGATTTTCTTCCAGCACTGTGAGCTTGAATCCTTTTAGCTGGAGATGCTGCCACTGAACAGACCTTGGGCTTATGTCATGGATTAGCTTCCAATTGTACAGGTAGTCCTCAACTTACGACCACAATTGAGCCCAAGATTTCTGTTGCTAAGCGAGACAATTATTAAATGAGCTTCTCCCATTTTACGAACTTTCTTGCTACTGTTGTTCGCTACATCACTGCAGTTAGTAACACGGTTGCACTTTAACACAGTTGTTAAGCGAAGCCGGCTTCCCTGTTGACTTTGCTTGTCAGAAGGTCGCAAAAGAGGATCACAAGACCCCAGGATCCTGCAACCATCGTAAACACGAGTCAGCTGTCAAGTGTCTGAATGTTGATCTCGTGACCATGGGGATGACCTAGCTGTGAAAAATGGTCATAAGTCCTTTTTTTCAATGCTGTTGCAGCTGTTAAGTCAAGGGCTACTACCCACAGCTAAAGTTCAAACTTCACAGTTCTAGACTTTGCAATTTCTGTGACTTCAGACTTCTCCAGTTCTGATGTACTCCATCTTGATATTGTAGGAAGCAGCTATGATCATCCTAGATTAGTAGGAGAACACCGTTTTGGGCGGTAGAAGGTCTCAGGAGGAATTCCCGGAGTATCGAAGAGGGCTGAAAAATATTCTTCCTGAAGTTACCAATTCTGGACTGATGCTCTTGGGTTAAATATGTCAATGATCTGACTTAGTTTGAGGCAGCTTTCTATTTTTCTAATCTAATGTCAGGGAACCTACCTGTACAGCCAAAGTATCGCTGGAGGCCGTCTACTTCAACCTTTGCCTCGCTACAGGATATACAGTGTGAGCTGCAGTTAGATCATCTCTGATAATGGCCATTCTCCTGTTTGCTCTTTAGCCAGACTTGGCTGAGGCCCTGAAGGGAAGTCTTAAATTATTCCAGAATTTAAAGCAGAGGTGCAAAATGTGTGCATCCTGTCCTTTGCTGTTCCCCAAAATGTCATGCGGGTACTTAAGGAGCTTGTTGCACCCTCTAAAATTAAATGCACAACCCTCTGACTTTTGAAAAGTAGCCCTTGGTGTGTTGCTGAAGGCTCTATATTCAGAATAAGCCAACTGATGTAAAGACAGATATAGGTAGTCCTTGATTTATAACCACAATTGGGATCACAATTTTGGTCGTACCTCATTGTGGTCATAAATCGAGGCACCACATAAATGGACCTGATTTTTTTTCAACCGTCTGTTAAGCAAATCCACTCTCCTAAATGGGCATGCTTTTGCTGTTAAATAATTGATCGTAAGTTGAGTTCTACCTGGAATTGCAAAAGAAAGAAAGACAGGATATTTGGGGTGTGGGGCAGAGAATGGATCTCATCACGAGATGATAACTGTTGATTGGAACAGTGGATTGGTTTTAAAAAGAATATTCTCTTGTCCTCTTTCCCTTTTTTTCCCTTTACTTTCTTCTTCTTCCTTCACCTTTTCCCCAGCCTACTCCACCCCAGGCACACCCCCTGCGAACCGCTTCGTGGGATTAGGACCACGGGATCCTGGCAGCATCTATCAGGCACAGGTGAGTGTTAAGAACCTGCCTACAATAATTTACTGGCTGGGAAGGAGCGACACAGTCAAAGTTGCCTCCAGTGGCAGCCATACAGAACAAAAGGTAGCATCTTCCTAGGGAGGAGCCCTGGTGGCGCAATGGTTAAAGTGCAGTACTGCAGGCAAATTCTGCCCACAGCCAAGAGTTCAATTCTGATGGGGCTCAAAGTGAATTCAACTTTCCATCCTTCCGAGATCGATAAAACGAGGGCCCAGATTGTTGGGGACAATATGCAAATAAGGCTTCTACATTGTAAACCAACCAGAGAGTGCTATAAAACAGCAGCCCCCAACCTTTTGGGCACCAGGGGGCGGTTCTGTGGACCAGAGGGAGTGACTGCATGCTGTGGATGGGGCTTCGCTTGCTTACGGTATGGCCCGGTTTCTGGCATGTCAGTCCTCTATGCTGGTCCACAGACCGGGGTTGGGGACCCTTACTATAAAGCAATATGGGGTATATATAAGCCTAAATGCTATTATTATTGCTATTCCAGGCCCCAATAACTATTCCTCAGAGGTAAAGTGTCTAAATATCTCTGAATATAAAGATTATAGTAAAAATCTACAGAATAATTATACTTAAAATGTACAGAAAAATAAAATAAAATATAGGGAAAAAGATATAAAAGAAAAATGGGATAGATAGAAAAAAGAGTGAACAACAGTATAGATCAAGAAAAAAAGAAAGAAAATAGTATTTAAAAAAGTGATTCCCAATCTACTTTGCAGTGGAAACAAACAGAATTAATTAATCCTGTTAATTAATCCCAAATTACAAAACGCCAGTTCCTTCTTCCCACGTTTTTAATTAGTAAATCCAGTTAATTTTTATTCATTTTCAGCAAAAAGTCCATGAATATAGTGTTTCTCCACCTTAGCAACTTTAAGATGTGTGGACTTCAACTCCCAGAATTCCACAGTCAGCCATGGCTAGCTGGGGAATTCTGGGAGTTGAAGTCCACACATCTTAAAGTTCCTAAGGTGGAGAAACACAGATCTAGGAGTTCTCTTTAAGAATGAACATTGTTAAATGCCTTTCTAGTGCAACATCCCATTTCCCCCATTGCCAGCCAGGTGCCTCTTTGAAACCTTGCAAGCGTTTACACATAATGTCCTCCCACTTGCTTGACACCCCCCCCCGCCCCCCAAGATCCACTAGTCTAAGATACAGTATATAATGCTTGCCTTATTCTGGTAGAGTTGAGAAATATTATTTTTCTCAGTCTCCACAGGCTGCGCATACCCCAACATGGGGTTCTGCAGGTGGGTTTGAGGAAAATATTGTCAGATTTTACTTATCCTAGAACTTGGAAGTGGACTGTTTCTCAGGCTGAGGATCTATTTCTCAGTGTAATGTTTGATGGCTGCTGACTGAGTCTACTAAAAGCCTCTAAAAACAAAACAGGAAGTTTGGTGGCTCAGATTTACATGTCTGTGCAATCCAGAACTCTATTTGTGAAAGCTGGAAGACGGATTAAAAATGTCCTCTGGAAACCACGTCATGCCTTCCGTGTTGTACCGCCATTCTTGGGGGAGGGTCATTATCCTGACCTTTCAATACTTTTCACTCCCAAATTACAGTCCCTTTTCATCTCCGGTGCTGTCCTCTGTGTCTTGGCTCCCAGTCGAAGTCTACTTGGCTTCTCCGGTATCAATCCTGCCAGGATTCTGCCTGGCACTTTCCCAAGCCCCAAGGGGAAACTCTGTGGTTTTTACAATTACTTGTGCATGCCTCTGGAAAAACAACAACAAAGCGCACGCGCGCCCACATACACACACACACACACACACACACACACTCACAGCCTTGACAGGGAGCAAGTTCAGAGGCCAGAGCTAACCTCGGTCTTCCCTCCTTACCCTCCCTCTCTGCCTGGCCTCTTAAGAGACAATTGGCTGGTGTGCTTAACATGATGGCTCCTGGCCAATGGGATTCCTTTCCTTCCCCTCTGGCGTTGTTGGAGCCTGGCATCAGCCATTAGTTGCAGGTCTGGCCGAAGCCGTGACGAAGACTTCCGGGTATCACAAACAGAGCCTCTCCCCCACCCCTCCTCCCGCCTCCCTCAAGGAACAACAACTCCAGTGTGTACTTCCTTCTGCAAGTGGGTTTAAGGATTATTTTGGGATTAGCCTTTTCTTTCCTTCCTCCTCTCTGGGATCTGACCATCAAGGTGTAAGAAATATGACACCAGATTGTCAAATTCCGTGGGTGGGCGGGTGTGGGGGGTGCCCCATGGGAAAGGTTGGGTTTGCAGCTAATTTAAGGACTCTTTAATCTGGCCCTGCGAAATGTGGGGCCTGCAGAGCTGAACACAGGAACCTGTGACCAGCCTTGGCAGCTTGATAAATCTTTGGGGCTGCAAAATAGAGGAAGAGGTTGTCAAATGTCCAGCTCAGGACTTAAACAAACAGAAGGACTGAAAGGAACTTTCTTCTTGGCTTATTGTTAGTGGGTTAGTGCTTCAGTTGAAAAAGGAAGAAGGCATCACAATAATACCTCAGCAATTTCAAGCTACTCCCTTAGAATCATAGGGCTAGAATGTACTTGGAGGTCTTCTAGTCCAACCCGCTGCCCAAGGCAGGAGACTTCTACCATCTCGGACAAATGGTTGCCCAGTCTTTTCCTGAAAACCTTCAGTGCTGGAGCACCTACAACTCTTGGAGGCAACCTGTTCCAATGATTAATTGCTCTCAATGTCAGGAGATCATCTTCTTCTTCTTCTTCTTCTTCTTCTTCTTCTTCTTCTTCTTCTTCTTCTTCTTCTCCTCCTCCTCCTCCTCCTCCTCCTCCTCCTCCTCCTCCTCCTCCTCCTCCTCCTCCTCCTCCCATGGTGTTCAAATTCAGTCAATCCAGAAGAGCAAAGTAGTCTCTTTTACTTTAAGGTAGAACTTTCAGGCATTTTAGTAATTTTCTATGTATTACCTAGGTAATTCTCATTTTTCAGTGAAAATAACCTTTTTTTTAAGAATAGGCTAGAATGATTTTTCCCCATGTTGCAGGGAAAAGACTGAGAAAAAGTGAGATAGATTGTCTATTTTTTAAAAAACCATAAATTAGAGGGGAAGGTTAAAACTTCATTTCTTAGCTGCTATCTACCAGACCCATTTTAATGTTAGAACAGGTATTAAGTCCCTTTCCCAATTGTTGCTTGGACACAACAAGCAATTGTTTAATATCACTAAGCAGGGCCAGGATCCAAATTTGGAGGAGAAACACCTCTTTGTCATCCCTGTCTCATATATATCCCCACACACTTCCCTGTGTAAGAGGAAAAGGGGGTCCCTTTTTGTCAGAAACAAACCACACTTTGCCTATGGTGGCTAAAAGAGACACACTCGCTTACCTGGTCATGCTAAAACTTCTCTGTTCAGTGATTGTTTCTCATTGAGCTTTGAACCACAAAGGCAATATTGGTTCCAGGTTTGAAGGGGTGTTAGGCCTGGGTCCATCTCTTCCTTTATTTGGACACCAGCAATTTTTAACAGAGTAACAGAGTTGGAAGGGACTTGGAAGTATTCTAGTCCAATCTCTGCTCAGGCAAAAAACCCTATATTATTTCAGACAAATGGTTGTCCAATCTCTTCTTAAAAACTTCCAGTGATGGAGTACCCAAAACTTCTGAAGACAAGACATTCCACTGGTTATTTTTCTCACTGTCAGGAAATGTCTCCTTAGTTCTAAGTTGCTTCTCTCCTTGATTAGGTTCCACCCATTGCTTCTTGTCCTGCCCTCAGGAGCTTTGGAGAATAGCCTGACTCCCTCTCCTTTGTGGCAGCCCCTGAGATATCGGAACACTGATATCATGTCAACAATAGTCCTTCTCTTCATCAAACTAGACATACCCAATTATTGCAATTGTTCTTCATTTCATACGTTTTAGCCAGTCTTGATGTGTTTTACCCCATCTGCATATCTTTTGCTTTTTTTCCTTTGGGCCAATCTGCCCAAAGGCTAGTTCAAGATAAATCGACCACTGCAGTGGTTCTCAATTCTTTTTCTTCATCACGGCCCCCTTTAAAATACCTTTTATGACCACAGACCGTGGGCACGGACCACCAAGACTTAACTCAAAATTTAAAGCATTAGACAGCATGAAGCCTTCACTTGATGCAATATCATCACCCCCTGTGATGATATTTCTCCACCCCCACGCCCCCCTCGGGATCCCCGGACAACAGGTTGAGAACCACTCGACTATTGTATAACTTTTATTCTCCTTGTTCACATACTTCGTCGATTGCAGGTGTAAGGTAAACCTGAAGCAACTGCATGGAGCAATAACAGGAGCCTAGTAATAAAAATAAAGCAGGAAGCTCCTTGCAGAGACATATGAAGCCTTGTGATGGAAGTTAAGTACCAAGAGGCTAAATCCATATCACCTCTTGTCCATTATTTATGAACTTCAAAACAAATTGTTTGGATAAACAAAACAGGATTTCTCAATGAAGAGAGAAGTACAATCAGTGACGCATGTGGACTTTTGCACACAAAGTCTTTATAGACAATGCCAATCATAATAATAATGGCAAGATTTTCTGTTCTGCTTTCACTAGGTAGCCACCCAGGTGCTCGCTGTCTCCCTTTGTGCATCATTTTTGTGCATGCTTAATCTGCTATGTGGTTTGAAAACTCCCCAAGGAAAGGGGTGGGTGGGAAACACCCCACTTCTGGTTGCAGAGAGAGCAAGTACAAAGCAGTGAAGGCCGCCGCATTCAGGCTGCAGTTGTGCAGTTCAGAAAGATCGGCGAGAGAAAGAATCTCACCAGCGAGGTAGTGCTGAGTCTGCAAATGCAGCCTGAGCGCTGTAAGAATTATAGCATAGTCCCCCGCCACAGCATTGTGATGGGCATCATCTAGATTTCCTGATACAGCTATCTAATAAATATGGGGATGTGTATAGTCTAGGTTAAAAATTAAAAATAATAATTACAAATTAAAAAAGATACTTTGGTTAAGGTCCTGGCTTAAAA